CAGTGAAAAGGTAACTAAATAAATAAATAAATAACTAACATTCAACATACGTTTGCAATTTAATATCATTTTGATCAGTCAAATTACCAATATCTGAACATCTGTTACATTTTCCTCCATTGTTGTGTGGATTTATGCAAGAACATTTTAAACATGGTTTGCATGCCCAGTTTGTGCACATCTTCAGTGAATGATGTATTGACATTTTCATTAATGTTTCTAGCCTGAATACAGTTAAATAATCCTGTTAAGTACTTATTGTATTCATTGAATTCTTCTGTATTTATTTGTAGGGTGAATTTATTCTCTGAAAAAACAGCACACCTCCTGCTTCCCACCACCTTGAGAGACAAGAGACTGAAGGGACTCCCGAGCACAAGAAACCACTAATTGGGTACACTAACAGTCTGGCTTGATTCATCAGCCACTGAAACATCCAATTGGTGTGGCTTGCCAGTCTGAAAAACTACAGAATCATCAGACTCTTTATACAAAACATCATAGCAATTCAACATTTCAACAGTTTGGTGGCTCACTTGGGAAGTTAGCAAGTTCAACCTAGAAGAACGGTTAGGAAACTATTGTTAGATATGCTAATTATTCGTCGACTTCACTTTGATGCGTGTCCAATCACTATGACGTCATCGCTTATATTGCTATTGCCGTTCGTTTTCCATGTGTTCCCACTAAATTGAAGAAATAGAGCTCATTAAGCCGAAAGATCGACATAGAAGCATCAACGACTTCTGTGCCAATGTTGTGTGATACTCAATTATTCGTTGTTCTTGAAAAAGATGAAAATACTGATAGTTTGTTTTGTTGACAGATTTGCCGTCTGTGAATCAAAATTTACCATGGAATTTGTACAAAAAACTCTGTCTGGGAATGTTCTAAAATGTTAGTATTCGTTACTACGTTAGTGTTTGGGTACTTTAATGTTGTGTTACGTATATCATAACTAGTTTCAATCGTAACTTTAGACAATAACACTTTTTTTATTGAGGTTAGTGACGTTAGCCATTTTGGCTGCTTATGTCGTAACAGTTCGAAAACATAGTTGAACTCTGGTGACCTTGCCCTTTGTTATATAATATTATTCTTTCTATCATAGTTTGTTTCAATATGAATATGCATTGTCATAATTAATTTTGAATGCAAACAAGTATTAGGGTTGAAACAACAGTGGAAAAGCAGTTTACCAAATGTCGTTGATAGATATAAATATCTTACAAAAACATTGGTGTCTAATTCGTTTAATTATTTTAAAGGACATAATTTCCAGCTTTATTCAAAGTAATTCAGATTTTTTAGTATAAAAACAAATGCCTCATCTCAGAAAAAAGGTGCTGCATTTAGACGTGAATAGATTCATAAACCATGCAAAAAACCAGAACCAGAAAATCTTAGCTGGCTTTTGCCCAAGTATTTTGTACAGGTGTCTGTCAAAAATTAATGATTCACTGGGACAAATATGAACTTAATATTATATTCATTGTGTGACTACTGTATTATTTGAAAAGTAAACAAAAACACCTTCTATGAATAGCTATCATGTTGCAAGCTCTGCTTTGTAATGTAAATCAACTTAAATACTGTGGAAACATTTTTATTTTCGCTGTAATTAATTTATTCTCACTGATTTTGGACGAGTTTAATGTGAAATATAGGAAAAAATGTATATTCTGGATTTTATTTTCACGGAATAATCCCTTCAGCGAAAATAGCAAAAATAAATTCCAAGCGAAAATTAAGTATTCTACAGTAGTTAGTTGGTGTCCAGCGGAGAGAAAAGTCAACAGTACTTTGCCTCCTTAGAATCTACATCTTCAAACACTGCAATCTTTGTTTTTAAAGTGCATTTAAAATTACTATAAAAGCTCTGTCATCTTTTCTAATAGCTAACAAATTCCGTGAATTTTCATTTATCGAATGAACTCTTTGTCAATTGGCACCCAATTCATAGGAGTGCTTATATTGATTTTCTTCTGACATCTTGTTTTCTGTTTTAGATTTGCAAATGTGTATCAGACTGTGCAAAAACTCTCTCTATGAGTTGGTTTTGAAACCCAGTCTAGTATTTCCATGGGATACCAAGGATATTACAAGAGAACTGGTGATGGTTGTGAACCATAACTGCCTCAGCACAAAGGCTGTTGTGTAATACCAGGAAATGTAAAGGGGAATGTATTGTCGTGTTACCTCTGTGTAATTTACAATATATCTGCGTTAACCTTCACTATTAAGGACAATATGGGAGTAGAAGCAAGGCTACGCAAATTTGCGAAATAGTAGTTACCGGTAGTTAGAATAACCAGACATCTTTTTTTCCCTGACCGCTGCCAGTAGCAGTTTAAGTGACACAGGAAGTTGTATGGTCTCATATCGCAATTTTGATCTGAATATAAATTTTTTATTTCAGTGTTAGAATTTCCTACTAAATCCTGACAATGCTGTATAAATTAGGAAAATTTGCTACGAAAAAAATTTAAAATTACAGAAAACCCCAATCGATGGAATCGTCTTTGAACGAATATCTAATTTCATGCAAATGACTATGATTGCAACATCAACAGTATGCTAATTCCCTTTGTTTTAAATGTTTACCGAGACACGCTTCCTAAAAATGCTGCAAATTAAACTTAAATTTTAAGTTTGATGGAATGTTGGAGAAAGTGAGGATCCCTGCTGCTAGATTGACTACTCTTAAAATCATGTGTCAAGTTTTGCTTTATGCCACACAAATATTCAAGGAACTTATTGAACCAACTCTGGTTCAAGATAGGAGTCTAGTAAAAATGCATTGTCACATGGCTTATCAAAACTAGAAAATATAGTCTGATAGTCAAACTGTTCCATTGGTGGAACCCTTTTAACTTATTCTTTAATTCATTTTTGTAGTTTTCTAATAGCCACTGTTTTCAACTGTTCTAACATAGACTTTGTGTTAGATATTTTTTTCTGATAGTGTGTATATATTGTTGGCTACCACTGAAGTCAATGATTTACTATCAAATCATTTTCCCATGTTTAGGATTCCTCCACAGGGTGCTCAAATTGTGTTTTTGTATCACTCGTTCACAATACTTGTGTAGGACAGTTTTGTTTTTTCTGAAAATTATTAATGTTGGCAAGTATTTTCAGATCATTTTCATACATATCCATTATTTCACTCTGAAATACATATTTTTTTTTCAAGTATTTTCTGAAGTGCTTTTATTAGAGCTTTGAAGATCAGAGCCTGTCAGTACAGCCTGCTTGCAAACACTGCAAACAATCTCAAATTTTCAATACTGTGATGGTTTTTTCCTGCAAAATACCAATTACCATAAGATTTTTTGCCACACAACACAATTTGTCATAGCATCAAACAAAAGGATTTTTTTCCAGCATATGTTGCAGAGAAGTTGTATATTGGTTTTATTGAGATAAAGTTGACATCTGTTGCTATGAACCCTTACACCACTCTTCTGTTGCAAATCTTTCATGTGTGTTTTCACATACACAGCAGATTCTTTTTTTGTTAGCTGTGTTTTTAATAATCAGTTGATTTTTGGGGGTATTTTATCCATTTTACAAATACAGACAAGGAAGAGGCAAAGTCAATTAATATTTAATAGACAACCACTAAAACAGCAAAAAATTGCTAGATTTGTTCAGATTCTTGTACACTGCAGCACCAATTCCTGAAAATAAAACTAAAACTTGTTAGACTCAATAATTGGTAAGTAATTAATAAATACTCTGGATTTATATTTTCAATGAAGGCACTTTTAAACTAAATTACATTCACCCCTATATCTTTAAAACACATCTACATATCATGCTTGAAAACAAATTCCAGTATTAGCAAAAGGGTAGTCACTGTTCAGTGAATAATATGGGTTGAGGGTCCCACTATCACAATACTAAAAATATATGTTTTAATTATTAATACCCCCCCAAAAAATCAGTATACACTTGCTCTGAGACCAGAGTTTTTTTTTTGGGGGGGGGGGCTCACTTCATTCCTATCCGTGGTAGTTTTTTGGCAATTAAGGTTTTGATAAAACAGATATAAAGTTAATAAAATTTTCATGTCAAGAAATAAATGATTCATAATAATTTAGTGTTTGGAACTTTAACAATAATCAGGGTTAAATATGGGCTGCTTCCCTACACCTGTGACAGAAAATTTTAAAAACAAGATATCGTATCAACATGTCACAATAATATAGTTGAGGAACAACTGGAAAAACAGAATATTTTTGTGGGAAATATTACACACAATACTAGGCTCAACTTGCAATGAAACCATCACCCTGGCTTAGTCCAAAACTGCAGTCTGAGCTACATGTACAATACCTATATGCTTTAGAGATTAGTACAATTAGTACAGGAATACTTACCAGATAGTAAAATCCAAAATACAAGGATGAAATTCACAAATCTCCAAGCACATGTATGCAATGTGACTAATCGTGAAACCAAGCGACCTTTCACCATGACAGCAGTCCGTCAACCAGCTGTCTCTTTAGCATAAGCTGTGACCAATAGTGTGCGGGAAAACGATGGTATCTCATGTAATTAATGCTCGATTTTCCCGCCATCCCTTCCACACTAAATGAAATGCATGTTTTGTGCATACCGGTAACTGACATTGAAATCAGTCGAAATAAAAGTTTGACACTTGCAAGGAGAAATAAAAGAGTGGTTTAAGATAAATAAAGGCCGGCCTGGGGTACGGTATGTAAAGTTGCGAGCTACGTAATGCCATAATGACTGTGCCCAAAACATTGTGGCAACAGAAAACTACTCACTATACACAGACTAAAACGGGACTCAATAAGTGTATTGCAATGTTGGGGGATTCAAAACAGTTTTCAAATTAAAACAATACTTAAAGAGGGGAGATAGCACGTAATACAGGGGCAAAATCCCCGCTATACAAAATGACGAAAATTTTGTGTTTTTTACATGTTTTTTGATGGGCGGGATTAAGAATTTAGAACACATATATAATTTTTTACTCACTTTTATAAATATCTAGTACATAGTAAACAAAATTGTACCTAACTTGGACCGGACAACCCCTTATATTATAGTGTATCCAGATTGTTTATCTCATTTTGCTTTCAGTGCATTGAGAATCGACGTCCATGTGTATTTACAGTCTTGGTATGAATACAAATCAGGATTTGTGTTGTATGATTAAATCTTTCAGGTTTGTATTGGAGTTAGCAAAATCATTAAATTTGCCATTTTTCATGATTTTAAGTTAATCTTTAATTGTTTATCAAATACAGAAGTAAAAAAATAGTAACCTAAATCATTTTCATAATTTTCATAACAAAACAGTGCACTGACAGTGACCTTTGTTTACAATCTCAAATTCCTGAGCTGCAAGCCATAATGGTTCAAATTTTCCAGGATGCAATGGTACAGAAAGAAGGCTGTGTCTTAGTGCAGACTGAGGTATGGTTAGTTTATGTGCACTTTCATTGGTGATTGCTTCTAATACTTAAGTATGTATGGATGTTAAAAATGACACTGACTACGAGTCAGTGCAAGCAGAACTAACTTGAAATTGTAATACATCTAGTGGTAAAATGGTACTTGATCTAGAGCAGGAATAGCACACGATCTATGGCAGAATGTACACAATGCAAGGGGCAATATGACTGCAGCACTGAATAGTTGCATAATCATTAAATGCCTGAGTAAATATTGCATTACTAGAGGCAGAGAAAGATATGGTTTGGAATTGGATGTTTGAAGTGGTACTATTATGGTACCCTTAAAAACAGAATATAAGAGAATGAGCTGATATGAGACAATACCTTGTAAGTACACGGCCACCAAATACATATATTGTGGACCTGTCTTCATCTATAGACATCTGGTGATCAAATATTAGTTTAGGACCACCTTCTGATCCTGTATCTTCACAAATTAAAGTCCATTTATTGCTTGAAATATCATAGACATAAAAGTCGCTCTGAAAAAAAAATAGTATTGCTGTATCTTTCTGTTGCATCAAAAAGTACTGCAGATGTATGTATTGAATAAACAAACAATTAATTATACCACACTTGCATGTATGTATTGAATAAACAAACAATTAATTATACCACACTTGCATGTATGTATTGAATAAACAAAAAATTAATTATACCACACTTGCATGTATGTATTGGGGTCTAAAAACTAACTCTGCGACGCGATTGTGCGACTCGCCGAATGTCGATTATTGCACTCTGCGACAGGATCGCAGTGTCACTCTGCGAAGAGCACGATTCCTATTGATTGGTGGGTCAAACAGCACGAATCCCAATGATCGATGTTCACTGCATGACTTATAAAAAATTAAGTTTTAAATGGTAAAAATGGTACGGTAAAAAAAAGTGTGTAAACACTATGTACCGGCGACATGCCACACTGTTCGATGATCGGCAAGCACATGGAAGACAAATTGTGGGACCAAACAAATGACACATGGTTTACAGTGATTAGACACATCACACCGCTGGCTAGAAAAATTGAATAGTGTAACGTGCACGTTGGTTTTGACTGCCTATTTACGGTGTAACGTTAGCGCCATCTTGGAGTTGTAAGGCTTCGTCCTGACGACTATGCTCATTAGCATAGGCGGTAGCTTCAAAGCAAGTGGAACGCGAAGTACTTTTCACGCGTTCTGCAACGAATGTTGTACGTCAGCTTTGACTTTGTTGAGTGCATCAGGGAAAATAATTTGAATGCAGTGAAAAAAAATCATTCACGATGTGCAATGTTTTGCCATCACATCAGTTGTTTGCAATCGTCTGCCTTCGTTTAGATCATAAACAGACTCCAAACTTGTGGTCTACGATCGATTAGCTGGTATTTTAACCAGAAATGAAATACTTTGTAACAGCTGTGAAAAGTAAACAAAAACGGCGTTGGTTTGTGGTATGAATGGAATTATTTTTGTATCATAATTTTCGAAGTCAGTATTACTGAAAATTATGGTTTATTTTTTTTTAAATGAACGCCAAATTTCGGTGGTCCATATTGATCTTAATGTAGCGAGAAGGGAATTTTTTTTTTATCTTGATTTTTCAATAATTGAAAATTTGTACCTTGATTCATCATCCCAGCTTTTCAAAATTTCGGAAATACCAGCGCTCAAGCGCTAACACTACTACTGTTTCGTTAATATTTGCATGTTTCTAACATGTACATGTATATGTATACTACCGGTAATACTCTGTTGTTGACGATTCTGATAGAACGAGTGACAAGCTTCCTGTCGCAAACAATGCATATTAATCTAACGTCCATTGTCAGCATTATTATCAGTCAAGACTTCGTCTGAGAAATCGTTTTATTTTCTAAGCCTATATTCTATTTTAATAACACCATCTTACTAACGCAATGACGATGTAAAAAACAAAAGCAAAGACGCCAATGACAAGACGAGGCAAAGAAAAATTGCAACTAAGGGTAATATTTACTAATTTAGACTTGCCTACAGCTTGTTGTGATTCCGATATAAAATTACAGGACTTTCGCGTTCACCCCTCGTTAACGCAATTTATATTTATTTTTTAAGAATTTGTCATCTAGGTCATATTATGACCAACCTCGCGAGTGGTTCGAAAGGGACGACTAGGCTGAAATATTCGCATCAACACGAAAGACTTTCAACTACTTAACCGATGACGACACCGATACATGAGACCGTTGAGGGTCGGTGATCAGACGAGAAAGCGAGTACAGGAAATCTGTTGCTCGTCGACATCGGCCAAATAAATAAAAGCCATTGTTCCGTTTATGCAGAGAGCTTGCGCCCATCTAATTTTTCGTTGACACTGCTGTTTTAGTTTTCTATTTTCAGCAGTAGTTTCAATCCATTCACATAGCTATGTTTTTGTTCTCTTAATATTCTTAATAAAACGATATTGATTGCCTAGAAACAGTTTGACCCGCTACACGCTTTATTTGGGAATTTAAAGTGATGAATATAGTAATAACAAATTATACTTGCTAATGAAAAAAAAAATAACGTAACATCATGTGAAACGTACTTTGCGCTCTACTCGCTTTAAAGCTGCCGCCTATGCTAATGAGCATTGTTGCGGACGAAGCCTTACAACTTCAAGATGGCGTTAATGTTACCAGCTCCCTGATGTTACACCGTAATAAGGCAGCCAACACCAACGTGCATGTGTTTTGTAACCCCTTTCATCCTTTCATTATATATGTTAACAAGTCATTGTCAATGACACGTCCCCGTTCCGTTCATATTTGAGTGACATATACATTCAAAGCAGATCATGACCGAAATGCACCTGCATATGTACAACACATTGTGCTAAATCTGAACAAAATCCATCCATGCATGACTGAGATCCGGTTCTGGAATTGTGAAAATACGTGATTTTGATGCATTTTCGGCCTTAAAATGGCCATCATTCCGCTATTGTTAAGCAGATCATGAAACAAATGCACATATCTATTTGTGACATGATGTACCATGTGTGTGTGAAGTTTGAACTTGATCAATCCAGACATGTCTTGGATACGGATCCAGAACTGAATTCTTTAACAAAATGGCTGCCAGTCGGCCATTTCG